GGTGTCCATGGTCGTCGAAGAGGGCTGAGGAGAAGTGACGGAGCGATGATAAAGCGGCACCCCAGCCTTTATGATAGGCAGCACATTGGTTCCCAGGTCCATTTCTAATCTGAGCACCCGTGTCTATAGTGGACGCACCAGACCACATGGGAACGCGAGAAGCCGGTTCTATTTTTTAAAATCTAGACACACGACTTCAACAGCCCCGGGACTAGTATGGTTATTTTTTCACAGGACTGCGGTCCAAGTACGGCCTGAGAGCCTGAGTCCAGTGTAACGGGCAAGGGACTCCGGAAAGGGAAATGAACTGGAATCTCTGGAAAGGAGAAGAGAATAAAGAAAGAGACAACAAGAGGGAGTCCCAAGTGAGAAGAGTCCCGAAACTGGCGTTGATTCGACAAAGAGAACTACGACGAACCAAAAACTATATAAGTACAAGAGTATCGGAGTATGAGTAATCTAATAATATGAACTAGGATAAATATGATGAGAATCATAAGTAATGTTGTGAAAATGGGGAGAGTTCGGAGTGTATCGTAAATATAACTAGTACATGTAAGGGGCATGTCCGGAATATTCCATGACCCTTACATCCAGCGCGACTTCGTATATGAGGTAGACTGTTTGGAAGTTGGTGTAAGTCCCAATCGCAAAAGAAGAAAGAAAAGAATCAGCCACGTCAACACACTGAGATGGTGGCACCATACATGGGAGGTCCCACATTCGCGGCATCGTAGAACAATTAGGCATGTAACAATCTAGCTGAGCCGCCGTATGTGAATCCACTCATGGATCCATACGAAACCGCGACGTTCTTGTATTTTTCGATCACGAAGTACAGTCCGGAGGAGCTGAGGCGGTGTGCTGAGGTTCAGTCACCGTGGGCGAAGGTATTGGGACTGCTGTGAAAAGAAATATTTACTGAGTCACTGAGGGGCAAAATAAATTGGCCACTTGTGTCCTACTCATTTACAGTATGCTTGTCTTCGTCGTAGGACACAGGGGGGGGCGGTTGGAGCCTCAGATGGTTGCCCACAGGCCTATTATTCTCAAGTGGCCAGGATCCCAGCAGACGATAGTATTAATTTTTGAGAAAGATGGAGCAAATGCAGATGCACTCCCCAGCCCTACCGAGCCTCATCCAACCTATCTAGTCCCTGAATAAACCAACACAAAATTTCACGGTTCACAGAGCAGCTATCATATCGTTGCACCAACCTGTGCCCCGGGCCTGCGAAGTGCCTGTTTTGCTCAAAGTTCAACCTGTGTACACCAATTCTCTTCAAGTGCCGGAATACTCTTTCATTTGTGCTCTTGTGTGAATTTTGAAAAGGGAAGCTGGGGAGATATCTGGGACAAAAAAAAACTGTTAAATTTGTCCCGCCATATGGCTCGGGCCCGAGTCGAACGGGCACCTCTTGCATTCGTCCAGGACAAACGAAGTCGACAGCAGATGCAGACGCGCTCCTAGCGCTACCAAGCCTTATACCACCTATTTAGTCCTTCGATAAATCACCTCACATTCCAGTTCTAATTTATCTTCTGGGGGATTCAACCCAGGCTTCAACCAGTGATACCTCCGGCACGAAGGTAAATATATTCCTGCCCCACCAGATTTTTTTGGAACTCAAACTTCCTGTTGGGGGTGAAGTGCAACCACGGAAATTCACGCCAACCAAAAGAAAGTGAATCAGCGAAAAGGCCATGGCTCAGGCCCGAGTCGAACGGGCACCTTCTGCATTACAAGATTGTGGGCGCTGCAGCAGAAGCAGACGTGCTCCCCAGCGCTACCGAGCCTTGTAGCACACAATTGGTCTTTGTTTAAACCAGTCACACATTTCATCTCTGATTTCATGTTTCGGGACATTCAACCCACGCTCGACCTGTGCCCGGGCTTGGGAAGTGCTTATCCCTGCCTCACCAGATTTTCTTCGCCCTTCCTGCTGGTTGGTGAAGTTTCAGCCAGGAAGGGATATTCACAGCACCAAAAAAAGGGGGCTTTCAAAAAGATGTGGGAGATCAAATATGGCTCAGGCCCGAGTCGAAGGCTCCTTCTGCATATTGATTTTCGAGAAAGATGAAGCAAAAGCAGATGCACTCCCCAGCCTTACCCCACCTGTCTAATCCCTGAATAAACCAACACAAATTTCACGGTTCACAGAGCAGCTATCATATTCAACCGGTTCAACCAACCTGTGCCCCGGACCTGCAAAGTGCTTATTTCCCTGCTCCGTCAGATCTTCTTACTCCTGCTGGCTGGCTGGTGAATGGCAACCAGGTCGGTGGGATATTCATAGCAGCACAACCTTGCAGATGCGCTCCCCAGCGCCACCGAGCCTGATTAGTTGTTGCATAAACCGGCTCAAAATGTGCTCTAATATATTCACATTCCGAGAAGTTCAACCTGTGCGAAAATTATCAATGTCTTCTCTTCCGCCAAGCCTTCAATTCATTTCTGCTCCTGTGCGAAGTTTTATAGAAAGCGAAACCGGGAGATAGTCAGGGCAACAGCAGCGCGTCGAACAGGAGCGGAAGCGCGATACCACGCCGCCGTCCGCATACACGGAGTGGAAGCGCGTCCTAATCCCCCGCGGTCGATGGTGGCAATGGAAATGCCACGCTGGCCGGTAGTGGCAACAGCGCGCGGCGTCAATGAGCATCGTCTGCACCACAGGCCGACCGCCGTCACAAGGAGCGGAAACGCGCCCAGCCCAGCCAGCAGTCGACGAGGGCAACGGAAGTGCTTGGGCGGTCCAGTGGCAGCAGGCGCGTAGCGCTCTACTTGAGCCCGCGGTGTAGGTGTGTCCGCCCATTGCCACTCTAACGACGACAGTGCGGGAAGCAAGCACGTCCGGTCCCCAGCCAGCAGTCGACACCGAAAACGGCCATGGCCGGGCGGTCCGTCCCAGCTGGCTGGGACACCAGCGCGTCACTCGGCATGGGCTGGGTATGTCCACCCAACGGCGAGCAGGTACTCAAACGGCGAGCAGTAGAGGCTCGGCGCGGATCCCTGGCAAGCAGACGCGTGTCCAGCAGGGTGGTATTCCCGGCGCCCACGCCAAGCTCCGGAAAAAGAGAGGAAGACCCTCATTGCGGAACGCAAGGGATGAGGGCGCGCGCATCGAAGGCGAGGAACCCTGTCTAGCGCGGTGAGAAAGACACCAGTCCGGCGCGTGGAGTAGGACCAGCGCGCAAAACATGACAAGATCGACAGGAGAAAGAGAGGGGGGGATGGAAAGGAGATGGAAAATGGCGATTGAAAAGGAAGGGAATCGCAAAACTCACAGCGTACACGCGTTAGACCATATGTCGCGCAGGGTGGTGAGGAGGGAGGGGTTGATGTTCGCGGAGCTAATATGAATACAGCGCATGCAATAGGATAAGGTTGGATGAAACGCACCCGCCGAGCAACACGCGCACGCGCACGAGGAGGGCGGTGACGAGGTGGCACGCGAGGAGGAGGAGGGAGACGAGCGGCGCGAGGGCCGCGAGGGATGAGCCGTGCCTAGCATGAGCGCTGCGCGCGCGTTGCCCGCCGCCTGCGCAGATGAGGAGGCGTGTCCACTAGCTGCGAGGAGTCAGCACCGTTTTATACAGCGCAAGGCACATAACGCACCAGCATTCACAGCAAAATCGATAATAAAAATGGACAGCACGGCGAGGGCCACGGTGAGCCTGTCGTTGGCGGGTGATCCCCAGGTAGTGACCGTCGCGGCGACGGCCCTAGTATATCCCAGCAGCAGCATGCCCACGACACACACGAGACACCCACCGAGCACGTACGGCCGGCGGCGGCCCCAGCGCGATGTGCTGCTGTCCGCCAGCGCGCCAATCAGCAGCTGCACAACCATGCCAGAGAGCGGTCCCGCAAGGAGCTCGAGCGACGTGTGAGGAGAGGCCCAGCGATAGCAGGTATGGCGACGTATAAGCCATTTCGACGCCCCAGAATATTTGCACGCCTAGTAAGCCCGTTGGGACCAAGGACACGGGCGTGTCCTTTCCAGCGGGTCCCGTCGGGCGAGGGCGCAGACGAAGCAATCATGGTCACGGATTGGGTCACGTGGGCCGCCGATTCGATGTTCGATTTGATTCTGGAGAAGACACAGTATATCTGGAGATATTGCATGGACCTTTTTAAAAATTCTTCGAGAAATTTCAAACCCGAGAAAAAAAATCGTAACAGACAAGCATATTAATGGCTCAGGCCCGAGTCGAACGGACACCTTCTGCAGCAAGCTCGTATTACTCCCAGTAGATGCAGATGCGCTGCCCAGCGCCACCGAGCCTTATCCCACCTATCTTGTTCCGGGACAAACCAGTTCAAAATTCGCTCTATTATATTTAATCCGACTCGGAGCTTCGCCCAAAGTTCAACCTGTGGGGCCCCCGAGCCTGGGAAGTGTGTATGCGTATCTCTACCCCGCCAGATTTTCTTCAAACTTCCCGTTGGGTTGGTGAAGTTGCAACCAAGGAGATTCACGGCTACTGCGCACCAAAAGCAGACCTTGCAAAAAATCTGGATGAGGGGAATATGGCTCAGGCCCGAGTCGAACGGGCTCCTTCTGCCAGATCTTCTTCCTGCTGGTTGGTGAAGTTGCAGCCAGGGAGGGATATTCACAGGACCAGATAAAAAAAAGCCGTTAAAAAAATGTTTTTGAGGATCACATATGGCTCAAGCCCGAGTCGAACAGGCTCCTTCTGCATATTGATCTCAGAGAAAGATGGAGCAGAGGCAGATGCACTCCCCAGCGCTACCGAGCCTTATCCCACCTATCTAGTCCCTGAATAAACCAACACAAAATTTCACAGTTCACAGAGCAGCTATCATATTGTTCGACCAACCTGTGCTCCGGGCCTGCGAAGTGCCTGTTTCGCTCAAAATTCAGCCCGTGTCAATCAATATCTTCTCTTCAGGTGCCGGAATATTCTCTCATTTGTGCTCTTGTGTGAAGCCGGGGAGATATCTAGGACAAAAAAAAACCCTTCCTAAGACAGCCACATGGCTTGGGCCCGAGTCGAACGGGCACCTTCTGCATTCGTTGTACAAACCACAGCAGACGCAGACGCGCTCCCAGCGCTACCAAGCCTTGTACCACCTATGTAGTCCTTCGATAAACCACCTCACATTTCAGTCCTAATTTCATATTCTGGGGGCTTCAACCCAGGCTTCAACCACTGATACCTCCGGCACGAAGTTAAATATATTCTTACCCATCGGATATTTTTGGAACTCAAACTTCCTGCTGGTTGGTAAAGTTGCAGCTAGGGAGGGATATGCACAGCACCACAAAAAAAGCGCTTTCAAAAAAGATGTGGAGAGAGCAAACATGGCTCAGACTCGAGTCGAACGGGCACATTCTGCATTACAGTACAGATGGCCATGACAGAGTGCAGACGCGCTCCCCAGCGCCACCGAGCCCTATCCCAAATAATCAGTCCTCGGATAAACCACCACGAAATTTTGCGGGTGATGTGAGATTCCGAATTTCAACTCATTACACCTCTTCGGCGCCGCTACTCCCTGGTTCATCCCAGGCGCCTAAGTAGGCGCGGTAAATGTTCATATTTTTAGGACATGAATGCTTATTCCCACTTATTTTCCGTCGAAGGGAGGGATAACCAGAGCCCAAAAAACATGAAACCAGCGCAGAACCAATGGAATGGCTCAGACCCGAGTCGAACGGGCATCTTCTGCATTACGTTGAAGCTCTCGCCATAACAGATGGAGATGCGCTCCCAGCGCTACCGACCTATATCCCACCTAATTCGTCTTTGAATACCCCAACACGAAATTTCTCGGGCAGTGTGAGATTCCGAAATTCAACCAAAAATCCATGATTCAACTCAAATCTTATTTACCAGTGAGATTAGTATTCGGGAAAGTGAGCATTCAACAATTTCTTCACCGCCGAATATCTGACAACCTCCACATGAATTTTCCGGGCTAAAACAAAGAAGAGGGGGGAAAAAACAAGCCCAAGCGGCGTATGGCTCAGGCCCGAGTTGAACGGGCTCTTTCTACATCGTAAGGCTTGAATGATCATGACAAAGCAGATGCAGACGTGTTCTCCAGCGTTACCGAGCCTTATCCCAAATAATTGGTCCATGGATAAAGCACCACGAAATTCCAAAATTCAATCAACATCCCACGATTCTCTCCAAGTCCCATTTCTTGCCATTTCACATTTAAATTGAGGCTAATATTCAGACAAAGCCTCTATTCAACAAGAACGCACCGCCGAAGCTTCTTACTGCACCCATACAACACTCCTCCCAAAAAAAAAAAAAAAAGGAACACCCGACTGGATATTCCCATATATAATAATAATGACAACTTAAATAAATTGTGCCACTGAAAATCACCCTGAAGACAGTGGGGCCTCAGCTGCAGCTCCCAAAGCCGAGCAAAGATTCTGACACACCGGGTGAGGTGTAATGGCTCAGACCCGAAGCGAAGGGTGATTCTCCAAAGCGTGAATTTGGGAAACTGCGGAGTGGGTCACGTGGGGCGGTGATTCGATGTTTGAGTTCAATATTGAATTTGATTCTGTAGAAGACCATTCAGTTCACAATATATCTGGAGACATTGCATGGACCTTGTTAAGAATTTTTCAAGGAATTTCGAACCCGGGGAAAAAAATTCACCTACAAACAGCTTACTAGTGGCTCAAGCCCGAGTCGAACGGGCACCTTCTGCATTACGGGAAATCACGATTCAGAACCCACGGGATGCAGGTGCGCTCCTCAGCGCTACCGAGCCTTATCCCACCTATCTAGTCCGTGAATAAACCAACACAAACTGAATACAAAATTACACAGTTCACTGGCACAGAGCAGCTATTATATTGTTCGACCAACCTGTGCCCCGGGCCTGCGAAGTGCCTATTTCGCTCAAAGTTCAGCCTGTGCGAATCAATGTCTTCTTTTCAGGCGCCGGAATATTCTTTCATTTGTGCTCTTGTGTGAATTTTGAAAAGGGAAGCTGGGGAGATATCTAGGACAAAAAAAAATGTCCCAGTACCACTCCACGGCTGGGGCCCGAGTCGAGCGGGCACCTTCTGCATTGGTCAAGGAGAATGTACAAATCACAGCAGATGCAGATGCGCTCCCAGCGCTACCAAGCCTTGTACCACCTATTTAGTCCTTCGATAAACCACCTCACATTTCAATTCTAATTTTATATTCTGGGGGATTCAACCCAGGCTTCAACCAGCGATACCTCGGGCACGAAAGTAAATATATTCTTACCCCACCAGATTTGTTTGAAGCTCAAACTTCCTTCTGGGGGGTGAAGTGCAGCCAAGGAAATTGACGCCAACCAGAAAAAAAGGAAACGGAAAGGTTTATGGCTCAGGCCCGAGTCGAACGGGCACCTTCTGCATTACAAATACATGGGCGACCCGGCAGAGGCAGACGCGTTCCCAGCGCTACCAAGCCTTGTACCACCTATTTAGTCCTTCGATAAACCACCTCACATATCAGTTCTCATTTTTTATTCTGGGGGATTCAACCCAGGCTTCAACCAGACCATGATACCTCCGGCACGAAGGTAATATATTCTTACCCACCAGATATTTTTGGAGCTCAAACTTCCTGCTGGTTGGTGAAGTTGCAGCTAGGGAGGGATATTCACAGCACCACAAAAAAAGCGACTTCAAAAAAGAAGTGGAGAGAGCAAACATGGCTCAGACCTGAGTCGAACGGGCACATTCTCCATTACAGTACAGTTCGTTAAGATGGCCATCACAGAGTGCAGACGCGGTCCCCAGCGGCACCGAGCCCTATCCCAAATAATTAGTCCTTGGATAAACCATCACAAAATTTTGCGGTGATGTGAGATTCCGAATTTCATCCCATTACACCTCTTCGGCGCCGCTACTCCCTGGTTCATCCCAGGCGCCTAAGTAGGCGCGGTAAATGTTCAAATTTTTAGTACATGAACGCTTATTCCTACTTATTGTCCGTTGAAGGGAGGGATAATCAGAGCCCAAAAAACATGAAACCAGCGCAGAACCAATGGAATGGCTCAGACCCGAGTCGAACGGGCATCTTCTGCATTACGTTGAAGCTCTCGCCATAACAGATGGAGATGCGCTCCCAGCGCTACCGACCCATATCCCACCTAATTCGTCTTTGAATACCCCAACACGAAATTTCTCGGGTGGTGTGAGATTCCGAAATTCAACCAAAAAATCCATGATTCAACTTCAAGTCAGATCTTATTTACCAGTGAGATTAGTATTCGGGAAAGTGAGCATTCAACAATTTCTTCGCCGCCGAATATCCGACAACCTCCACATGAATTTTCCGGGCCAAAACAAAAGAAGAGGGGGAAAAAACAACCCAAGCAGTGTATGGCTCAGGCCCGAGTCGAACGGGCTCTTTCTACATTGTAAGGCTTGAATGACAAAACAGATGCCGACGTGTTCCCCAGCGCTACCGAGCCTTATCCCAAATAATTGGTCCATGAATAAAGCACCACGAAATTCTAAAATTCAACCAACATCCCACGATTCTCTCCAAGTCCCATTTTCTTGCCATTTCACATTTAAATTGAGGCTAATATTCAGACAAAGCCGCTATTCAACAAGAACGCACCGCCGAAGCATCTTACCGCACCCATACAACACTCCTCAAAAAAAAAAAAGGAATGCTTGAATGGATATTCCCAGATACAATAATAATGACAACTTAAATAAATTGTGCCACTGAAAATCACCCTGAAGCCAGTGGGGCCTCAGCTGCAGCTCCCACAGCCGAGCAAAGATTCTGACACACCGGGTGAGGTGTAATGGCTCAGACCCGAAGCAAAGGGTGATTCTCCTTGAATGCATAAAATATTCAAAGCACATTGAGAGTAGACGCAGTATCCTTGCTACCAAATCTGCATGCATTTTACTTTTGTCTGCATTCGACTCTTCTGAATACTTCCATGCAAAAGAAAAGGCTCCACCTCAATGCTTATTGCCAGATAAAATATATTATATAATAACCACCCACAGCTGGTTCAATTAAATAAATAAATAAATCTGGGAAGGATGCTGCTACCGGTACCCTACGACGGAACTTGCATATATTGCACTCCGTTGCTGCTCACCAAAACATAACAAAAAACACCGGATACCTCAGACCCAAGTTGAACAAGTGAGTTTCTCCTGGCAAATAAGTACGAAGCACAGGATTATGGGAAGAGGTGCAGGACCATCCACCACCAAGTCCTCTCCAATTTATCTGTACTCTCTATATATCCACCTCAAGTTATCTTACACATGAACCTGTATCACAATTCAGACACTTATTGCAAGACTGAGAGAAGATCTCTTCACAAATTCTATTTCTGGTGGACAAGATCCTGGTAAGTACGTGTGTTTCTCTAATCCCGGTTATTCGGACTTCCCCCGAAAGGAAATGTGGATGTCTTCGAGATTTGAATGGCTCAGATCCGAGTCGAACAGATGTTCCTCTCCTTGCAACACCATTGATGGTATATGAACTACCAAGAGCAGATGTGTGCCATTCTGCTAGTGAACTTTAAAGTTTAATCTCCACATTTCAACTTGTTCAACTGTTTGCATGGCAGAAAGAACGGCACACCAATTTAGTTGATTTCCTCCTGTCTGCGCCACCAAATGGAAAAATGAAATAAAATAAAAACAGATAAAAATCTGAAATTCTCAATTAAACCGAATGACTTACCTTCTCTTCATATGTGGATGCGATGTTACCAAGGGATCGGAGGAAAATGTAAGACCACCCCTGCTACTGAGCATTATTTCCATTTTTTTTCTCCCTTGAAAATGCTCTCATGCAGTCTGCAATGTGTTTAGACCATCTGCAGCTTATTGCTGACTGCAAACCTTCGAAAAAGCTGCCTCCCGGTCCATTTATTCCTCACTCCAGATCCTCTGGCATGATCACAAAATAGAATAAATGAAACAAAAAAAAACATGCTGTTTATACCTCTGTATAAATATGAAGCACACTGTTGAGTTTGGTGGATATTTGAACTATTTGAAGCTGCATCAGTGAGGGAATGGTAGTTACTTTGCCCTCACAATTCAGACCACACTTAATCACCACTGATGTG